TTTCCACCACTCTCGGTTGTACAGGCCTCGAGTGCGTGTCCATATTATCCACCGATGGTACATTATCGCTCTTGTTATCATTTGTATTCAACTGACGCAATTGCCTTCTAGTCATTACACTAACTACTTGTTCATTCATTGATTTTAAATCTTCAGATGTAATTATTATTCGCGATAGCGCATCCGCCACAGAATTTGATTTACCTTTTAAATATTCAATTGTAAAATTAAATTCTTCTATTTGTAGTCTAAATTTTAATAATCTACTTGATGGATCTCTCATTGAAAATAAATAAACTAAAGGTCGATGGTCGGTCTGTATCTTAAACCGCTTTCCGTATAAATAAGGTCGAAAATATTTAACACTCCAAACTATTGCTAAGAGCTCCTTCTCAATAGTAGGGTAATTAATTTCGGCTTTATTTAAACCACGACTTGCATAAGCTACTGGCCGACCATCTCCGTTGCATAAAACCGATCCTATAGCTTTACCTGATGCATCGGTTTGTAATATAAATGTATTGCTATCTGAAAAATCTGGGTACTGCAGAACAGGCGGGGTCGTTAGGGCTGATTTTAACGTTTTGAAGGATTGCTCACATTCTTTTGACCACTCAAACTTAACATTTTTGCGACATAATTTATTTAACGGAAACGCAAACTCCGCGAAATTCCTAATAAACCTTCTATAATAATTGGCAAATGCTACGAACCGCTGCAGTTCATCAATATTCTGTGGTCTTGGATAATTTTCGACCACTTTTATCTTATCTGGGTCTGGTAAAATACCTCCTGCAGAAACTATATGACCTAAATAAAGAACTTCCTTTTGCAAAAATGAACACTTAGAAGGATTCAATTTTAAATTTACTTTACGTAATCTAGAGAAAACATCCATTAAATTTTGATTATGACTATTCAAATTTCTACCCATTACTACCAGATCGTCTTGATAAATTAAACATTTATCGTAATTAAGTCCAGACATTGCAATAGTCATCATTCTGCTAAAACTACTGGGACTAGATTTAAGTCCCATTGGCATTCGGGTCATTTGGTACTGATTATTACCAGTGGTAAATGCCGTATATGGTCTGCAATTTTCCTTTAATGAAATTTGAAAAAATCCTTGATATAAATCTAAATGAGTAAAGTACATTGCTCCTGACAAAGAGTCTAGTATCTCGGTGATGTTGGGCAAAGGGAATTTATCGTCTTGTATGTTATCATTTAGCTTACGATAATCAATTACGACACGCCACTTTTTATTACCGGACGCATCGCACTTTTTGGGTACTAGCAGCAATGGGCTTGACCATGCACTTCGAGATGGCTCAATTATACCGTCGTTTAACATACTTTTAATTTGTTTTTGCAGTTCAGGTTTTTGAGCGTACGGCAACCTGTAAGGTTTTGTATAAATGGGACTAGTATGCGGTTTCATGTCAATTGTTTGCTCGTATACGGGGGTAGTGGATAATTTGTCCCCTGGTAAATGAAAAATATCAGGGAATTTAGCACAAATTTGCTCTATTGATATTTGTTCCTCAGTATTTAATTGTTTTAATTTTAATAAGGAAAATAATGTTTTCACCCTTTCCGAATGAACTACAGATTTACTAAATTGACAAATATAATATTCACTTAAATAATTAGCTCTAACTGGAAACCAATTCAATTTAACGTCTGTGTCACGAGTATTTAAAATACGAATAGGCATTTTTCCATTTACTGGTTTGCTTATACTGCTCGCTAAATAAACTCCATCACTTAATTGCTGATTTTTCACGACACACGCGTCTTTTAATTCTGTATCAATATAATGTGTGGATTCGCTACGCCTTGGTATAATTAAATAGTTCCTATTGGAATTTGGCTGATTATTCTCAAATGATATTGTTAATAGTTCATTGTTGTTAACAAATAATTGTAAAGTGTCATTTTCAAAGTTTAAAATAGCTTTATATTGTGACAAAAAGTCTTGACCAACAATGCCATCTGTCTTACACGGTAATTTTTTAAATACTATGAACTTATGAGGAAAATCATACTCGTTATAATTAAGTATTAAATGCACATAACCCTCAGAGTACAAAGATCCACCTATACCTTTCACGCTAACTCTTTCTTTATGGTAAGGAATGTGTAATCGCTCTAAACATTCCAAACTTATTCCCGATATAGATGCGCCGGTGTCTATTAGCAAGCTATGTTTATAATTACAAATGTTAAAAGACACTTTATTTAAATTGTTACAAGAAAGGATTATATGATTAGTCACGAAAAAAATGATTAAGTGACTCATTATTCGAAGTGCCTGCTGTTGCTATCTGGCTATTCTCTGTTATAATGTTGACATTCCTTTGCGATCTGATACCCCTGACTCTGCCGCAGTTACTACGCGATGATTTGTTCGCTCCGCGATAACGATTGCCATAATTACTACGGTAGTTATTATTATTATAGCCATACGATACCTGCTGCTGTAGACCTCGATGCCCACGTGAATGGTGTGTTACAAATCTACGTTGACCGCGAAACCCTCGGTGAGGTCTCTGAACCTGGTATTGCTGTCTATACGTACCCATGATTTCTGATGAACCACTAGGAATAGGTGCCTCTTCATCTTGGGCCGCCTGGATTGCCTCTGTCAAAGAAGTAAAATTACGCGCGGCAATTACGGTACTCAGACGACGGTCCCTCAAACCATCAGCAAACCGTTTGATTGCTAACTTCTCGTTTATGGGTTTTAGTAACTCATATTTCTCTGACTCACTGTCGGCTTGAGATACTGTCAAATTTACAAAAAGATCTGATATTTCTTTCCCATAATCGGTTACTGTTCTATTATTTTGCTTACAGTATTGCAGTTTTGTTTGTATAGCGACAAAACTTTTTTGTGGTAGTAACAATTTTCGCATATCCTTTATAAGCTCAGTAACTGTCTCGTATTTTGATGATAATAACAATTTGGCACGCTGGGATAACCTGCTTTTCAACACAAACTGAATTAACTTAGTTTTACATGTTGGTTTTTCTAGCACAGAATTATAGTACTCGATACTTTCGATCAGCTGTTTTGTGTTATCAATGCTGTCATCCATGACAGACAATAAATGCAACGCAGTTTTAAGATCAAATGAATCCGTAGTCATGATTTCTATCGAGGGAATGCCCTCGCCCGCTGTAGTACAAAAGGAAATTACTTCTAAAAATAGGCTATCAAACTCTCTACAAATCCTTGTAATTAAATTAATCTCAGAACTTGCAATAGATTTTAACTTTTCTTTATATAGTTCTAAAAACTTATTATACTTTATTAAAATATTATCTGCCTCTTTTCTTTTCGTCTCTAATATTTTTCCTTGTCGACGGCTGGGACCAATTTTTATTAAATAGTTTCTTACAGATTTTAACTCATTTAGTATCAGACTTAATTCTTCAGCCATAACAGGTTAACATAACATTTAACGCAAACTGCGACTAATGTAAACTCAGCGAGGATACACATAATAATTTTACTTAACATTATACTCTTATAATAAACAAACCTGTACTAACATGTTGTAGCTCTTAACATAAAACGTTACTGTCTCTATTTACTTAATAGTACGCCACTGATATTGAACCGATCACATCACTACACTAGCACTCTACACATATTTTCGGACGACACCGACACTACACTACAGCTTACGACGTTGAGAAGGCTCTGTCGTGAAGATACCATCTGCGTATTGTCACCTCCCCAGCTATACATCAAATTCCTTGGACTTGTCAGTTTGTGGCATAGCAGTCAAGTGTGCCTGTTGTCTGCGTAGGATACTGGTGTATCGTTTTAACGTCATTTCGTTCACACAACGCTGTATCTTCTTCTTGTGGCAATGGTTATACAGCTTATATGTTACCAGCAGCAATCCAATCAATAAAACGGTGCAAATAACCACCAGAATTACATTAGTGGTCTCATGAAGTTGCTGCGCACGAGCCGTATTGCTACCGACTCCAGCTGTCTGGGCAATCACCACTTGTTCTTTGACTTCTTTGGAACTAGAACCGCCCATTTTTCACCAACAACGACGAACAAAGATGCGCAACAATAAAACGTGTTGTATACGCCGTGAGCTCCGAGGTTATTCTATTCATTTTAAAGACGCCTGTAACTTTCCACTTATTGTTTAGAATATTTTGCCCGTATATGGAGCACACGCGCTCGGCCCCGTGCCGTGCTATGGTCCTGTCACGGTCGCCATGTAAGGTTGGGTGTTTGGATGAGTGTAATGAAACCAACGAGCTCCGAGAATACACTGAATATATTGAATATAGGATGCTTAATATATATCTTACGACTACTACACCACACTCTAACGAGACGGGCAGCGTGGGACAATAAAAATTACGGCCGGTGTTTTGCGCCGAGCGTGCGCTCACTTCGATGAGTGATATTCTCCGCTAATACTTCTTTGTTGGTGTTGTTCAGAGGCGTGGCAAGATTTGCGTGTTGTCATTTTTGAAATTTTGCTCACATTTTACCTTATTCTTTTTTAAACCCTTAAATAACATAATAGGTTTGACACGAAATACCACAGAACTCAATCTTACCTCAAAGGACCAAAAGCCAATAAAACAAGATAACGATCCAAAACTATTTCGAACAATAATCCGTCTCTTACCCAGTTAATTAAAGCGGTATATGATCTTGACAGTAATTAAACGGAAGTAAACATAATTGATCAGTGATCTGATCATTACCATAACAATAGTAACAGCAATGGCACTCGATAAATTATTAAAAAATATCAATCAAGTTGTAATGATGAATGGAGATCGTGATATATACATTCGGCATCGGATCTGACTTTGGATCAGAACATTTACAAATATAATAAGAGAGCATTAGTCCAATCCACTTTTGACATCATTATCTGTGTAGTCGACTCACGATAACCTGCGAGCGTCGTCGGACGGTCCCGCCCCGCGTCGAGCGGCAGTCGCGCGCGTCCTCGCTTACCGTGTGGTCGTGTGCGCTTCGTGCGGCGAATGCTTTTACATCAAATACATCATATAAGGTACTCGGGGAACTCGCTTTTGGCGGGTTTTCGCACGGACGTGAGCGGTGATCGTGATGCGCTTTGCATTCGGACACGGAATGCGTGCGTGTTGTCAGTGCGCTCCGCCTCTTAGTGTGTTTGTGCGGCGTCACAGTGAAATCTGTGGCGAGGACCACCAGTGATCTCTTGGATTGCAGTGTTGGATCGGAGGATTGACTTTGAGACGCGACTACATCAGCTTTTTGTAAGAATCGAGCCGCTCCGGCGGATGTTATGTCCATGGTGTTGACTCATGCATGACGCACTTGATTGCTGGAACTGGGAATTTATGATTTACGATACCTTTTCAAAATTGTAACCAGTTGTGAATTTGAAACCGTTGTTATTGTTATACGTAGAGTGAGCTTTGTTCGAGTCGAGTTCGAGTTAAATGTTAAAATTTTAATTGCATTCTTATTTTTATTACAATCATGATCTTGAAGTCAATGACAAGGTTAAACCTGTATTTTGATTTAAATTCAGTCGTTAAGTGAGACCTTTACATTGCGTTTACTTACGTATGTATGGTTATATTACTTTGCTAATAATGAGTACTTGATTATAGTAAATACCAACCCGCATTTTATTTATAAATATGAAAATATGACGTTTAGAACGAGTGAGCTTGAAAAATATTCATAATTTCGTCGTAAACATGTTTAAACATGAAGTTATGAAATACAATTAGCATCCTATCTCATTTGATAATTCGTGTAGATATAATTAGGTCCCATACTGTTGTTAGCGTCATTATTATACATTTTAGTATTACGTTCGGCCACGACAGCGCAGACAAGTCACAAAAAGTTATTAGTCTTACTACTATTTGTTTAATTTCATCGTGGCTTTGTATTCTAACATAATTTGTTAGTTTTCCTAAGCTACAACAATAATATTATACTGATGATACTTACTCAGTTTAAAGTACTTATAATAATACTTTTTCCTCCTATTGGGTAATAAAAAGTTATTTTTACCTGGTTAGTAAGTATAAAAAACTCGCAACAAATGAACAAACATGAAAACGGACTCTTCATTTTAAAACGTTAAATATTTAGATTTATCGTATCACTAGTACTTCATACCATCTTTTTTATATTAATTGCAAAGCGTTTAATTAAATTCATCTTGAATAATTCATTAAAGTCAAACTCAAAACAACATGGCTTCCTGATTTTTTATTTCACACTAGATTATTTAATTTATAGAAATAACGATCAAGAATTGCTAATGCGTTAAATAGAATTTCAGATCTTTAACAGTGCAATGGCTGAATATTAATGGGGTGTAATCTAAATGAGGCCGGTGGTCAGTGAGAGACACTTATCTTCAGATAAATTGTACTTCCCACGGGGGTACGAAAAGGGGTTCTAACGTCTCAAGGGTTATCTTGAATAGTCTTGTAAAAGCTGAATAACTATCTAACAAAATGTCCGCTTCACAACATTATTTATCCCTTCCAGAGCGCTTATTTCACCGCACTACGTACTACGGACAATGCTCCAATATTTAAAGATTACCATCACAAATTTTGGAGACTTTTTGATGAACGAATACTTTGTCACGGCTTCATTGTCTGTTCTGTAAATTGTTTCGCTCTCAACAGATCCAGTGACGAAGTGACCACACTATGACCTCGACTTTAAACTAGGTTAATGTTTCTCTGATGTAGGACACTCACTATTTGGCTCGTATAGAAAATTAACTACTTTTAAAAATATTTGCTCGTTCGACCTTGACAGATATACAAAGCCGTGTTATATTATAGTTATGCACCCGCATGTTCCGTTGTGCCGACATTACCTGTTATTGTCGGTGTCTGACCATCTGTTCTATTGTCATTCAAATTCAACTTAGTAGTAACGTGTCTACATTATAACGTAACGTGACGAACTAACATTTCCCACGCCTGACCTCACCAAGAAGGGTAGCTTAGACGAATATCTATTAAACGAATGTAGATTGAGTGGCATTCACATAATAATGACGTTACAGCATAGAATTTCAAATCCATTTCTATGAAAAGGTCCATTAGAATAAACTACTTTTTGACAGATGTCCAAAAGGCAGACATGAGCGCATAAAGATACGGTTTATTGGTGTGGATACCGTTATCCATAAACACGCCGTTTCCTCGAGTAGGGGTGGTAGGTTCAGTGTTCCCCTAGTGCGGCGGGTCGCAGATCAATCACATGAGAAAACACCCGCGTAATGGCTCCTCATGACCCTCAGCGAAAAAATACCCGACACATTCTATTTACCCGATGTCCGCTAAATAAGGCAAAAAGTACCGGCACACTGCCTCCCAATTAATCATCTGACCGGAACCCGGCTCCTGTAATGACAGTTCCTTTAAATTAAGATTATCCGGACCTACCAAGTCTACAAAGTACTTAATCCATACAGTTATCGAAGTTATGAGTCGCGTCATCCGATTTTTATTGACAACCGTACAAGGTTCAATGAAAAACTGTCCAACTTTTGATGGACGATAGTTGTTGTTTCAATAAATTTAAAAACTTTGGTGTTCTAGAAGTCTATCCAAAAACAGTTAAAAACTGACTCTGCAATAGTTAACTCTTCTGTATTCTATAATTCCGTCGCATGTACGGCGGCTTCGTGAAGATATCTAATTAGGTTTGTAATTAGCAATTTCTGCAAGGTCAGATAAGCTTTGACAAGGTCACATGTAAGCTGTAATAGCCATATCATGTGTAAACCTCAAACTACGTCAAATTAACTATATGACGTAGCCGTTAAACATGTAGTTTTCCTTTTCATTCGCTCTTTACCTTTATCCTGAGTTATTACTATAGTCAACATAATTGAAGTAAGTAACAAATGAATATTTGCTCCATATTTTGTTCAGTTAGCTTCTCGACTCAAACCAAGATTGACTTGTGACTTGTATCTAATAGTTTGGATTAGCGTTAGTGGACCGTTGAATGAGTTCCCAGCATTTGTTAATTTGTTGTAAATATCAATCGTTTACGGCAATCGAGTGTTACATGATACGAGTCAATTAATTGCAATGGACTTTGCTGATCTACATTCAGGGTGTAATTTATAATTTTGTTTTGCAGTGCTAAACTGTCGGTGTGCGTTAGTGGATGAAACTTTTATTCAAATATGTTCGTTCGTGGTGTTGGTTAATAAATAATATTGTGCTGTGTTGTGTGAAACAGTGATATATTGAAAACAATCAGTATTGATAAGAGTGAGCCCGCCATTGCTGGTATGCATATGTGTTATGAAAGGCCTGGCCTGGTCACCGCCCTGAACGGAAGTGTTGGGTAAGATATCTTCTAATAATAAAATAGAATCATTTGTGTCTCCAATAACTACAGTATAATAAAAATGGACAGTTAAAAAGTAATCTCACATTTAAAGTTTAACGTCCAAACGACCACATACTCGAGGGTCACCGACAGTCGACCATTTTGTATTTTTTTAATTTCCTGCGAACTCGTCGTGTTGTCGTTATTTATTACTTGCTAGGAACCAACCCTGACTGCTTATATGCCCGTTGTATTTTACGGAATGTATTCGGTTACGAGTTCCTTATGGTATCATGTTCATGCAAATATTACAAATATTCCAATGTCTGCTGAATACTGAGTACTTTAAGCCGACAAAAAACACATCCATAACTTTGAAAGATTTAATCAAAGTGGCCGGAAATTTTATAGCCATTATTCGTTAAAACAAGCACCCAAAACAATGCATGCTCATAATTAACAAGAAACCGAGACAATAAACCGCAAAGCTTTTATTCACTTTTATGGCGCGACAAATGTACATTTAATTAGGATGCCTTTATTTCTGCATTAGCCTTGTAAACGAAAAAAACATTACCGCTACCAGAAACGTAGCAGATTTATTAGTCAAGAAGCTTTCATGGAATGTATGAAACAGAATTGTTGAGTACTACTATATAACTATTAGCACGGTGCGTCAGTTAGCTAGGATAGGAACCTTTTCAAAAACTTGTCTCAGTTCTCGGTGTGGTATTTTTTTATCAACTTTACCTGTGTAGTTTCCTTTTGTTATTAAAGATCCTTTCACAAGAATATTGGAACGCTACCCAATTTTAAATCACCGTTAAGCCCCGCACTGTATTTGTCCTTTTATAGCATTATGCCGACAGTAATACTTTACAGATTTTTGGAAGGCATTGAAGGGCCAGTAGAAAACAATAGAATATTTATTGGCAATACCATTAAGGCACGTGTTGGGTTGAGAAAAAGAAGTGTCTTGGTCATTTAATCCAAAGGCTAGCCGGTGCAAGAAACAGATGCATGTTCCCAACGCATTAACTTTAGATCCGGCTTTATTTACTTCTATCATGCGATAAGTACCACGGAATCAATTAAGCAAAATTCTAACGCGCAGGCTACTGCTCACTGATGCGGAGGTATGTGTTGTTAACTAACTTTTTGCTTGTAAAATCGTCTGTAGTTGATATTTTGATATAGAGGTATAGCGATGTGCCCTTTGCTAAATGAGGTCGGGCGTTAATTTGAATTTTATTAAAGGTTCCGCTTTTGAATGAGTATGCAGTTTAATAGTTATCATTTTACCCTTTTCGTTTTTTGCTTCTTAGTACACACTTTTGACATACAGTCTAGTCTGTATTTCCTGCGGTCTTTATCAAAAGAGCAAAATTATATTCGTTGGTTTACGATTACGAATAAACCCTTCCTACGCTTGTAACCTTTCCACCAGGACTTCAGTCAGTTATAAATAAAGTATCACTTTAACTAACCTTAATTTTATTAAAATTTCTCTTAATCCATTCATAGCGTTTAACGTTTCTAGCTTTCACACCTACGCTTCTAATATTCTGGAGAGATTCTATCATTGCTTAGTGCTTACTATTCTTTCTACGAAGTCGTTTAAATATATATTCCAACCACATGTTGTTTTACTTCAAATTATGTTTTATTTTCCGTTGTTGTTGCTTATGTCACGTAGTTCAAACCTTTATGTTTCATATTAGCATGAATATTAGTTATAAGTCAGTCATAATAGGACGTTCGGTGTTCAGTGTCAACAATGGCGACTTGTGCAAACAGCTCGCGAACTAGACGCGCCGTGCTGCCGACAAATTGATTAACATACGTACTAAGTTTGTGTTGCAAGTATTTATTTACTTGCCGCTAAGTACTGTTTGACTAAGGTTTCTTTTGCCGTGTTGATCATGTTTGGCTCGAGCGCTTGTTTTGTTTGCTTGCTGTAAAGTACTTAGTTTAGAAATTTCTGTTGGGATAGGTTGTTGTTCACTATCAAGACGCTTACTTCTGTTCATTCTAAAGTTTTATTCTAGTATTTGATTTACTGTTCTTACCACTTCTAGATTTCTGGTATGGAGATTTATAGCATGTTCAAATACCTCAATTGGTGTTTGTCCATGAACTTTCAACATCTTATTTACATTCCTCGGATGTAGCATGCGTGTGCATAGCCAGTGATATCAATTACAAAATCATTATTGTTAGTTTCTTATGCTATTTGCTTAGTATTTCGTTAACGCTCCGGTAATAATTCAGAAGTGAACGATTAAAGTCAATCAACTTACTTATGTTCTCATTTATCTTACTCGGCTGGTTGCAAGAATCAATTAGCTGGATAATTAGTGTGACGCGCCTGTTACTGACCGCTTCTCTCGAAATCTCTTGTCAACTTTAATGTTTATGACGTGCTCGTCTGATTTTATCTTTTGATTGTCGTTTATTATCATGGTTGTAGATGATCTGGTGTCTTAATACTAATTGTTATTACAGTTCATTATTACAATATTTTCTTTTTATGCTTCCGTATGATAATTTAATTAGGCCCCATTAAACAAATGAGCCTATTGCTATGCTATCCAATCCGAAATTTAGTACTCAAACCAATATGTTTCGGAAGCAAAAGGACAATACTTTAGACGATGTGGAAGACCAGTTTACTCATCAGATTAGACACAGTTGAGCCCATTTATTCAAATGCATTTGTTTTATAGAAGTGCATTTTCCCTACATTCGCGCGCTATACCGTATACTAGCGACGGTGAGCCCGCGATAATCCAATAAGCTGAATTGGTAGTGGCTCGAGTTAACCTTCTTAGTTATATGTGAATACGTTGTAACTCAATGCTAGGAACACTATACCGACTATTGTGGGAGTGACGCGACTTAGTGCTGCACGGGTGTCAGCCAATGAGATTAATTTAACTATTTAGCAAGACCTTTGAATCTTATTTACACTAGAGAATGATGTATAAAAATTATAGTGGATGGGAATGCCACTCGAATTGTGTTCCTCATTAACATTACGCTTATCCATATTAGTATTGACAACTTGTTTACTTTGTCTAGTGTACTTGTTAAGCCAGTATTATGAGTATGACTTATATGAAAAGTGATAGCATTCAATATTTTTTTATTCTTCTACAAAAAGAGCGCCAAAACGGGCCATGTCGAGATAAACATAAAACTAATTAGCCTTGGAACATTAAATTACTACACTTCACTATTCAAGCTAGTTATGTTAAATATAATTAAGAAAATAGGTTCTTTAGAGCTGTTAATTGCAATTTTGTTTCGTCTCATGGGTCTCTTACTTAAGGCAGGTATTAATAATCGATTGTGCAGACTTAATTTATGCTAATCTTTGCGAATATCATCTGCGAACGAGAAAGCCAATTGAACTAGTTAACGTCGAGTGTACTCGCTAATTGTTATTGGTTTAGTTATTGTTTTAATTATAAGAAGCAAAAATATAACCTAATCTTTGTTGTTCCCCAAAGATAGGCAGGTGTGTAGTAGGGAGCGCTATTGTTGTTCAAGGCGCTTATTGTTGAACACCGGACACAAATGCGAACACCGTGTCTTTATTTATTGTAAAGAATTTTGAAATTAAAGACGTCAACAATACTTACACGACCCCTAGTTTTGAATCCAATAACCCTAGCTTAACAGACATTTGCGAACAACCAATAAAAGCCAATTTATTCTCAAGAAATGATACTAATTGCAGATAATAAGTATTGCAGTGCTATTAATACAATGGCCCCGGATTTCACATTGCGTTGTCAACAATATATCTGTTTAAAATATTTTGTTTGTCAGCATCATATAACCGCAACGCAATTAGCGTGCCGTGTGTCGTATATAACTCATGTGAGAATTAAAATATACGCTTAATTTATTGCCTCGTATTAAATAGTCATTATCGAACTGGTCTTGGATTTCGTCCTGGTCTGACCACTTAATAGGAATTTCCAAACCAAAACACTAGTTGTAGTTTGGAAATACCTATTTACTTTAATAATTTCAATATTAAAATGAAGGGTTGGTTCAACAAAGACCTAACGTTAGCATCATGCGATACTTATTTCATTCAATGCTTGTATCTTATTTCTTGCTCTTTTATCCATTCCGAATGTACCATTAACTAACCTTATCTCTATAATAAGGTATCGAATGTCGGTTTGTACGCACGTGACCAACTTTATCCAATAAAATAGCTAAACAGATTGTGAAATGAGTACAATTAATGCATCCTGTAGTCTCTCGGCTCGTGTATACATTCGGTACTTGCCACCTCGTTTACGGCTGTCTCGGGTACTTAGTTGTCAGGTTATTACGCAACGCTACTACCAGCCGTTAATTATTTGCCAGGGAACATTTAACTATGCTGTTCACAAATCTCCCTATCCTCATTTACTACATTAGTACTATGAAACGCTAAAAGCTAACTTTTTATACAAGTACCCTTGTATCTTCGACGATTTTATTGCCATCGTCGGATATAAAACTGTTCTTAATAAAGCTGTTTAGTGATGTCCGCCGCCCACCTTCTGCAATGGACGACGCGACCAGTGCATTACACTTAAAAGTTAAAGGGTAATAAAATGGAACTTATTCTCAAGCTAGATCATAAAATGTTTACTCCATAATAGTTTGAATAACAACAAGAACTTACACAAAAGTTACTTAGTTGTTGACTAATGAATGATAGAAACTGCCAACGCAATTTACTTTATAATTTTTCTTCGAACTGTGTTGATAAATTGTGGGGAACCTGAAGCTCAAGTGTTTAACTATTTATTTGGCCTGGCCTGAAGGCACTCTCGCCGCTTCGTGGAAATTCACTCTGTACAGAGTATTATTTCAATTTTGTTTTATCCTTTTTGAGAATGATAATTTCATAATAAATGGTTGCTATTGTTGTTCATGTTACTGTATTATCTAGGATGGGATTTGTGGCTGTTGAACTAGTTCGCTTGGTCCATGATTTTCATGTAACC